TGATTCATTCCAAATATATGTGCGATCTTTCATTAACCATTCATTGCTAGTTGTGGGGAAAAAACAATCACAAGATATAATTTTGAGACTGCTCGAAATTGCCAGGTGGAGTCGACGAGCGATGTGTAGAGTTTGCGCTGGCCAAGCCAAGCAAGGAAGGGGGCAACGAGACAGGATGGGAGAGGGGGATGGAACTGAGAGTTTGTTCAAGGTGTGTGCGCGGGCTACTTGAGGGTGGGATGGGGGCGCCACACGGTACGATTTAAAGATGTGGCATGCGCGCATTAGTCGTCACCCCTACTTCATCGAGCATTTTACAAAGATCATAGGAATTACGTCGAAAGGTAGGATAGTTCTAGAACGTCCCCTATGTTGATAGTTCAGTGTTGATACTACTTACTAGGTTTGTTGTGCTAAGTTACTGAGCATTTGGCAACACTGCAAGGCAAGAGCAGCAGATGGTCTAAAAGTTTCCCCCAATTCCTCCATGTCCACGTGCGTCTGTTTTTTCATAGTTTTTCTACACGTTTTCGCATGAATTTTGACATGACTCTTGATTGAGTTTGAAAACTTGCTGTTCATTAATGATCAGGTTCATTTTTTCATTTAGTATTATTTTCTTACCAATATTTCTTAATTGTCTTATTTTTACATGTACGTGAGTTGACAGATGCATTTGTGATTAAATTCACTCTCGATTCTGTCGAAATTTATACAATATCCATGCAAAGTTCGAAATCATTTCAGCACAACAAGTCGAGAACATAAAGAAAGATTATTTCATTATTTCTGGGCTCCATTATTTTGGCATGAACTTGCCAGTCTGTGACAAGCTTCCTATCCTGTGGCCTCCGATGCGCCAAGGACACTGCGTCCCATGACACTGCTTGTGCTTGCCTGCTTACTTCGAGTACCACAATCTATGCCACTGAGTCTCAGTACTCTAGGTACGGCCCAACCTAATGTGACATGCGCCTGACAAATTCAAGAATGTAAACAATTCCTTAACTACGAAATTTTGCTCGCACATTGTCCATGTGGCACCGCAATCTATGCTGTCAAGTCCCAGTACTCCCGGTACTGCCCAACCTAATGACATGCGCGTGACAAATTTAAGAATGTAAACAATTTCTCAACTACGAAATTTGGCTCGCACATCGTCTATGTGGCACCGCAATCTGTGCTATCAAGTCTCAGTACTGCCCAACCCAACATGACATGCGCTGACAAACTCAAGACTGTCAACAATTCCGTAACTACGTAGTTTGGCTCGCACATCGTCTCAGTGGCACGAACTTTCACCCGCACTAAGCGAGCCTTGAACCTTTGGGACCCTGGAACTCCTTCTAAGCATGTGCGTGGTGCTTGGGAGCATTGAACTCTCATAATTGGCAACCTCTACATGATTGGCCACATTTACACTTGGATTTGAAACTGGATTTTCAGCTTACGCGAGAACCAAATATTCCGTATTGCAATTGACATCTCTTTACCCATGCAATATCTTTCTAAGTTTAATGTAACTTTGAGGCAGTGGGCTCCATCTTTGAATGATGTAATGCGTGCATGATGGCTGATTGATGTTGATCACTATCATTTGTGGCTTCTGCTTCATGATAAGAGGTCGAAGCCACATTAGTATCTCCTACCACATGAACATCAAGATGTTGCAGTCACTATCCTTCCACATAAACATCAAGGCATTGCAGTCTCGTTCAATGTTAATCCATATTGATTAAACTCTTTATACATTCTAAATGAAGAAAATTCAATTGAACATCATAACACAAAATGAAGATAGAACTATTAATTAAACTAACGGAAATTTCTAAATTTCAGTATTTTGTGAATTCTTACATTTTAGAAACGCACCAAGAAATTGGAGAACGGCCGCTCTCATGTGATTTTTTTAAATTAATGAACTTCACCAAAGCAAAAATTTCCATCGTCTGAAATTTATGTTCTAAAAGCCGTAGGGCATATGAATCATGTGCCTAGTCAATTTTATCCGTTCTCATCCTTTCTCGTGCCGATTTATTTTTCGCTTGTTAAACTTAAGTGTATCGTGCCCTCGACGTTTGTTCGAGCCAGATGCCACGACAACTGTTTCGTAGAATGATTATAATAATAATAAGCCTTCATGAAAAAATTGGCTAGAAATGAACTGACGTACAGTGAAATGGTAGGTAAGCCTAGGCCTAACAATGCTTGATTTTTCTGCTCGCCTCTTCTCCTCATAGGAGGAGAAGGCACAGTTTGTGAATAAAGCCTCTCTTATTTGACGTCAATTGTTTTTTACTTACGATAGTTACAATCATTCCTCTAAAGTCTTGAACGTATCAGATTGCAATCAACTCTCGTAGAAATAATGTTATGAATGTGCACGTATATTTAGCAGCGGCTCGTCTAAATTGCGCAGATACTTCATTGCAACGACAGACCCTTGATACTTATAAGCTATGAGTGCTTTGCGACCGAAAAATCAAACCGAAGTACCAGAATTTTTGTTGGAATCCAGAAGCGTTTAGTTTTTCTTTCAACTGCCCACCGTCGTGTCCTTGCGACGCCATCTTTCTCCTACCTGGAGGCACTAAACCGTGAGGTTCTACATGAGGTGCACTTGCTTCGATTTTTCCTTGCATTTTTTTTTTGGATAACCAGTCGGCGGCTGACTTAATACAGACTCGCACACACCTTTCCTGTCAACACGCTACTACACACCGTTCATGCCGTCGTGTTACACTTGCCACTTGGTCAATGTAGACGCGAAGAACATTTTTCATGAGCGATCAAAACAGCTCCGTAGTCATCATGTGACGTGGTTATCGAACCCTAAAAATAATTTTTCTGAAAAGTACAGGGTTATTCTAAGTAATGGACCAATTTAATAAATTCGTATTCAAGTATAAAATTAGAATTATAATTTCTACACCAATGGAAAGAGAGTGATTACGTTTTTTAACGCGTTCAAATACGGAATTATCCGCTCAACTGGCATTATGATATCCGAAACTATTCGAATCGCTTTAAAGACCACCTGATCTCCCCCCATGTTACTATTTATTAAGAGGTTGCGTCAAGGAAGCTGTTTACGTCCCGCCTCTACCAGCAACTCTGTTTACGTCCCGCCTCTACCAGCAACTCTGTTTACGTCCCGCCTCTACCAGCAACTCTGTTTACGTCCCGCCACTACCAGCAACTGTTTACGCCGTTGGTGTCCTTACGACCCGCCTCTACCACAGCAACTCTGTTTACGTCCCGCTCCTATAGTAACTCTGTTTACGTCCCGCCTCTACCAGCAACTCTGTTTACGTCCCGCCTCTACCAGCAACTCTTTTTACGTCCCGCCTCTACCAGCAACTCTTTTTACGTCCCGCCGCAACTCCTGTCTCTTATACACATCTAGATGTGTATAAGAGACAGACTCTGTTTACGTCCCGCCTCTACCAGCAACTCTGTTTACGTCCCGCCTCTACCAGCAACTCTGTTTACGTCCCGCCTCTACCAGCAACTCTGTTTACGTCCCGCCTCTACCAGCTACTCTGGTTGATCTGAAGAACCGTATCACTGCTACGGTGCACCCAGTAACAGAAGATATACTTTCTCACCTGTGGGACGAGTTTCGCTACCGTTTAGAAATTAGATGTTTGTCATGAAAATGAATCTTTCTCTATCCATTGGTGTATAAATTATTTTGAATTTATACTTGAACAAATACGAATTTATTAAATTAGGTCCATCATCAGAAGCACCCTGTATAATAAGGTTTTCATTGATGAGCAGCCAGGTAAGCGAATGTAAACACACCGTCCTTATCGACACACTACGCTCGGTCTCTGCTATGCGCTCGACATCGTTCTTGCAACGCGCTACATACATAGAGTACGTAGCGCGTTTCGCTTGTCATATCAAGTCTGCCGTGTGATGTCGATGCACGGCATGACAATCGTGGATTGTACTTCCATTAGTTCGAATTATATTCGTCTCTCCCGCTTATACATTAATATCAGAGGAAATTTTTGCTACCTTTCCCTGATATTTTCCACGTAAATAACTAAAATGACTTGCATGACAAGTTTTCATAGCGCATGGGTTCTCCCAGATCGTCATCGATGGATGTATTCGCGCTAGCAATGACAATGGTAGCGAAGCCTTATAATCATAGCTATTACTAAAGTATCAAATAACTAATTTCTCATATTTCCAATGAATATTTTTGAAATGATCGTTGAAAAACTAGCAAGAACTTTTGGACAGAAAAGTACGTCGACTTGAAAAGCAAATAAAATTCCCTAGTCAGGGATGCAGCTAGGCTCAGAACAAGTGCACTACATTGCAAAGATTACTTTTCTTCTTAAATTTCATAATACAAGAAAGTTAGGGACGAAACTTCCTTTAGAATGCCTGTTAGGTCAACGATCGAGTATTCTTTTCCACGGCGGAAAAGGTTTCGTTAATTTTAACGGAAAAGAGTGAATCACGAGAAGCAGCTCTTCGTGCGATTTGGTTACTCAGGCGGATTTACCAGCCTGTCAGGCCGCACCACAGAACAGAACTTGTTTAGAATAGACGAATTTGAAGCTAAGTTAGAAGAAAATTAATTACAGCTTCGTCATAAATTTAATGACCAAGCAAAGCAAATAACAAGGTAAAGGAAATATAGTTCTCTTTGCAAATTTCGTCGTTATTCATTGCTAAATTATGTAGCATTTCGTGTCGGCCGATGGATTACTTTACATTCTACGATAGTAGCAGACTAACAGATTTGATTAATTAACATGATGCAAGATAATTAGGCTGGCCTTCAGTTAAACTGTTCAATGCCTAATTACCAATGGTTTTTGAAGGTATTCCACGAACCTGCTTCATTAACAAAGATGATAATGGCTATCGCTAATTCAATTTTTCCCCTAAGGTCAATATTATTCGTATAATTGTATCACGTCCTGGAATTTTTCAGCGGAGACTAGCTATCAACAGGGTAGCGAAACACCGGGTTATTTAGATTGCCATTTATTGACATAAATTATTTCTTCATATAAAAATATACGCTTCGATTAGGATCCGACATGACCCAAATCTAACTAGAGGCTAAGATTTAAATCGCTGTACAAGACTACAAGGCATACATTCTCTGAACGACACTTCAATTTCACATCAGCACAAAATCTTCATTAATTGCATTAAAAAATGGTCGATTGAGAAATAAAAATAGATATCTGAAAATTGAAGAATAGAAACCTTGACCATGAAAGGGAAGGTAAAAACATCTCAATAACTCAACAAAAAACATTTCGTGAACATAGCGTTCAGATCACGATTACACGCACTTCGGCTTTTACGGTGTATGTACTGCATTTTCTATTATAGCTAAATGATTAAAATCCAATTCAATCTCAACTTGAGTATTGTGCTGTCATTTATGCAAAGTGATTGACTAGCATTAAAAGTAAGTATTAAACCAAGGAAACTATAGTCAGGTACAGATGACTTATATACACACGAATTTATATTGAGCACTGAAATTTTCGCCAACTGATAGATCTGGGAAGCGTGACATACATCATCATTTCCGAGTTCCGACGATTAAACTACCAGTCAAGACAGGCACTTGGAGAAATCACAATAATTAACACTATCACGCTGTTAGTGCGACAGTGTGCGGTCCAGTTGGATGAATCGGAGACAGACAAAACTCCGACTGTTTTTGTGATTGTGAAAAACTAAAATAGGAAACGAGGGATGTTAATTGATCTACTTCCATTTCTTCGCAGTTATTAGATGTGTCCGATGATGCATCGTCGTCAGAATCCGAGTCTTCTGATGAGGACGAGGAACTCCTGCTGGACTTGCGTTCCGAGGAGCCGGCAGGTCGCTCAGCACTTTCAGTTTCGGGATTCGCTTCTAGTCTTGAATGAAGGTCCCCGCATGCGATGGAGATTTCTATGCTTGTTTTAATAAGTGAGGTCTCTTCCATCAACGCAGTGTCATTATTATTGAATTCAATACTAGACGCTTGAAGAGCATCGTTTGGAAACGATTTAGTAGCATCGATTGGCCGGTTACTGGCAAACGATTCTACTTTCAATTCGGATCGTAAGCGTTTAGGAAGAATTGATGACACTGCTGCAGCTGTTTCTTGGTCACTCACTCGTCTTCTCTTTCTCGAACTTTGAGATAAGCTGGTTGTTGTCACGGTTGAGGAGTTCGTCACAGACGTTACCGTAGTTGTCGTGTTAGTTGTATGCGTGACATTGTAATCTGTATTTGCTTCAGCAAGTGGCAATTTGCTTTGCTCACTCACGCATTCAGGGATTGCGACCTCATCTTCACGACACTCGGATCGGGAATTTTCCTTATTGTCTCTTGAATTCAGAGTGTTAACATTTAGATGTGGGTTATTTAAGTGACACACTGGAGTCACGGTAACCTCTACAGGTGCAATTTTTGCCACCCTTTCACGCTCTTCTTCGAAATAAACGTTTCGGGCCTTATGTAACACTGTGGCCACGAGTAGTGATTTATGTAAACTTGCGCCAGTTCGAGTAACTCGAGAGGCATTCATTTTCCCTATCGACACAGAAATCAACTTCTGCGCTTCCAAACTGGTTGCAGAAAACATGTTGATTGTTTTCTTGCAATCACTATCTACTTGAGCACGTGCAACGGTCTCGTGGCGATAGCTTTTATATTTCGCACAATCACGCACGTAACGTGTCAAGTACTCAACGTCTTCTGCCAGGGAGGTGAAAGTTGGGAGCCTTTATACGAGACCGGACTTGACGTCATGAGGATAAGTTGCCGACTACCCATTTGTGATTAAAAACAATGACCAAAAAGTTCGCAGCTCATTCATCATTTATTTCGTTAATCTATTTTATGCATTGAGAAATTATGAAAAGTTGAAAGTAGATCAATAAATATGGTAATGTTATATGAATTAATTGATAAAAATATATGAGCTTAAGCAACAAGTTGGCATCACTGATTTGGAGCGCGCATGCGCTGTGTCTCGCAATGGCCGTGAATTGGATCCCGTTACGAAATGTTAAATTCCACACATCTTCGGATTATAGACAGGAAGCAGTTAAGATATGAATTAATTATATAGAAAAAATGACTTAGGAATATTTGAATTAGTGAGTGCTTTTTATTTTCTTATATATTAAATTAAGAGAATATAGCTCGAAAGTGTCCATGAAACTTTCGAGACTTTTGTTGCGACTCCTGGCAACTCATCGCTTACTCATACTAGCCTCTATCGAGCGTCAATTTATTGTACGAGGGATATGTTCGTATTTAGCACTGTGAATGCTCAAGGGCGGGAATGAACGATTAGTCATGTTCCCATTAAAGGAAACTGCGTATTTACTAAGCACTGATAGTCTGTCTATTCATGAAGCATTTTCAGAGTATGTTAACACTAGTTATAGAATTGTTAGAAGCATACTCTAATTCTATTCAATTGTCAGAAGTTAAAGGAATTTTTTTTTGTGTTTGAGATGACGAACATGAGTAGTACCGAGAAATAATGAGAGAAAAATAATACTCCTACCGCGAATGAACAGTACTGCAGATATAAATATATAAAGAAGTAAATGGGAGACGTTACTGCAAACACGTATGTTGCACGTGTAACAATCGCGTGTAATTCATAGGTTATACTATTATACATAGGTTATACTATTATTGTGTATTATTACTATATTTATACTATTGAGGAAGTAATCATTGTAAAATTAATTTATATTGTGGTTAATATTGATCAGTCATCTCCAATTTTCTGAATAATTTTCAGTAAATTTTTACCCATCATCATGATGCGACGTTATATTTTTGTAGGAGAGTGGGTTTGAAAGTTCCACGCTGAAAATAGGTAAGAAACCACATAGCCAAGCGTTTAATATTATCTAATTGTGAGTTTTTAAGTAAGCGACACAACTTTAATGAAAATAATTTTTTTTAATGCATCAACTCACTGAGGATAAATTTTCAACAAATTTGTTGTCATTATTGCGTAATCGTTACGAATTATTTACAGACGATTACTGTAATTGATTTAGTCACCTATTTAACGATGAGTATGAAATGCACCTGAGCCTGGTATTCATCATTGCGTTGGTCGCGTTTAGTCCACGTTTAATTTAAATAAGTTAGTTTCAATAGATGCGCTAAACTAATCTGCTTCAAGTGCAATTTTTTCAAGTCTGAAAGAGCATACATCGTAGAAAATACATGGTATTCCTAGAAATAGATTGTTGTGACACATTAGAGTGAACATCATCGTCTCTCCACATGACTTGGAATGCATTCGAACGCTTCGGTTAGAGTAGCGACGAGCTCGTGCGAGGCTAGCTGCGCACTTACCCCGTCTACACCCCTGTACCTGTGCCCCCATTTTGCCCTGCCGCCTCTTATTTGCCCTCCCCCCTTCTCTCTCTATTCTACCTCCAAATAGTCCCCACTACCGTGTGTACGTGATGTTGTGCTTTTCTATCATGGGGTGCGTTTTTCAGTCGTGAAATTGTAGCTTCTCAATGAAACTGCCTTTGCTTTGGCAATGAGCCGGTCGTTAATTATGACCGTCTCTGGTTTTCAGTTCTTTCATACTGTTATATGTCTTTCAGCAGAAAAAGTTTTCATGCGTGACTTGAAGGAACGAATATATTTTACGCGAACCTACGTGATTTGAAGCCGATTTTGTTCTTAGACGATTGCACGCTGAGTATTATCTGTGCGAAAATATTTTCGAATTGTGCAGAAGACTGAAGAGATTCAGCAACTGGCGAAAATTATTGTACAAATGTTTGAAAATTCATTCATATATATGAGACAATTAATGTTTTTATTATTCTCATCGCAGTTGTCGATCAAATATTTTTGAGGAAATACGAGTACAATACTAAATGATTGGAGTAGGATTCTCTTCGTAATCTTTAATAATAAAGAAATGGAATCATTTTGTTTTATTCTCTCCCGAAATTTTTTTTGAACGATATTGAGTAAAGAAGCGAATAAACGAAGATTGGTGTCTGTAAACAGTGGGCAACATTTATTCATGATTAATTGGATCTATTTATAAATGGTTACATAGCTGCGGAATTGGGTGTGTTTCAAACCTCGTAACTGAGTCTCTAAGTTTGAAAAATAATTACCATTAGCTTGATCGTACTCATGATTGCGACGACATGGAAATTCTGTGGCGATTTAAATATCTTTACTCTGTAGAATTTACCCTATTTTTCCCATTCACAACCTGCTTCTAGTATTTAACAGGACAAATGAAACTATTTCTACACACTCAAACTCACCCTAGACACTTCGAACCAGTTTAACTGATTTTTTATGCAGTTGCCTGCAATCCAACATGTCGATGGTGAGGGACGCCTAACCTGCCAACGACGAGATGGTGAGGGACGCCTAACCTGCCAACGGAGAGATGGTCAGGAGCGCCTAACCTGCCAACGGAGAGATGGTCAGAGGCGCCTAACCTGCCAACGGAGAGATGGTCAGGGGCGCCTAACCTGCCAACGGAGAGATGGTCAGGGGCGCCTAACCTGCCAACGCAGAGATGATCAGGGGCGCTCAACCTGCCAACGGAGAGATGGTCAGGGGCGCCTAACCTGCCAACGGAGAGATGGTCAGGTACGCCTAACCTGCCAAGTCAAGCCCATCGTCAACATGAGTTCTGGAATTCTGCATCCCGCGACAGCTCTGAAGAAACCAAGCTGCTTAAGGTTTGAACGAACGCGCATACCCCAGTAATGTTGCCAGGCATAAACTGGGGCACGTAAAGTATTTTTTTTTTTGAAATGGTATTACTTGAAAAAGAATTAATGTTCACAAGCAATGTTATTTTTGAGAGGGCTAGGTTGTTGTTGGGAAATTTCAGAGCCAAGTAAGCGTTCATTAAACAATCATACTTTAGTACAGCCAGGCTCCAAATAACTGTTCAATGAAAAATATATAGATTGACGAGTTCGCCAAAATGCATAATTGATTGTCGCTGCGACTTTGTATTTTGAGGTGTTTTGACAACTAACAGCCGGCCACAAAATAACTGGCAGTGAATATAGAAGACAATTTTCATTATATAAATAATAGAAACAAAATTATATACACAGGACATTTATTTGAAAAATAAACATTTTCTGCTTACACTCGTAATCCAAAGTAGACTTGACTACAGCTTCTAATTCAACTTTTGCAAACGTTTCGAAATTCTTATTCAAGTCAGTCAGACAAATTTGACGATTTAAACGCACAAAAAAAGAGTCTGTCACTAATCTACGTTGCCAAAAATCCACTGAAATAAAATTTTTTACAAGGAGAGTAATTATATCACCTGCTGGCAGAACAAATGAAGCTCGAAGATGGTTTAAATTGCCTGCATTCATGACTAAAAATAAACTACCAGTGAGGGGAGCAAGACATATCGGGACAACGAACGTAACGAATAACTGCGATTATCATAATAACAACGAAAAAGGTAAACTCCACGCAACAATGCTACCGCTCCATCAACAATAACAAAAGTTAGAGCAGGGCTGAAACGAAGGCAAGTCAATAAACCTGAGAAAAGTAACTGAAACCTGTGCAATCGGGAACTTAATTGGAGGAAACCTGAAGCGAACTTGCGTCATGTTAAGGAAATGTAGAGCTTTAATCGTCCTGAAAAAAATAACAAGCGAGATCATGGATACGTAAAAATTATTTCCTAGTATACGTACGTATGCACACTGACAAATTTCGTGCTTGTTGTGGCATGCTACTCAATCCTTTTCAAAATGGAAAACGCCACCAAAAGATATTGAATAATATTCTCAAAATTTATTATGTTCACCGTGAGTTCTGTGAGGTGCGTTAATTTAAGAGGTACTTCCTTGTTTAGCAAGTTCAATTCTGAACAAGTGTAAACACTTCAGGCATTTATATTATAAATTTTAAGGTTACTAGCTTCGCAGAAGTATTGTTAGAGAAGATAGCTCCACGCTCATAGGCTATCTTTACTTGGTTCACACTCAAACCCTCACACACGATTTTCATATTTTGTCCTGTTCGCAATATTTTCCTTCAAAATTCCGTACAGTGCTAAACTTGTCACTACGATTCCAGAACAATTCAATAGGGCGGTCAGTGAAATCAACAATGTGCATGGGCGAAACTCAGCAATAACATGCAAAGAGTATTCAAAGCAAAGGTATATCGTATCAGTAATTATAGAACATTTAGAACAGCGTTTGAATGTGGAACTTTTACATTAAGAATCTACAAGGCATCCAAGTCATCTCCAACAAGGCAACATAAGTTGAACTGTAGGAGGTTAAGATTGAACATTGCAGATCGTATCATAGGAACATTTTACATGATTACCACTTGCTGCACTATTTTTAGCGCAGAAACTGAATAATATGGCTGTATTTTTACCTACGCTAGCATAGCTCCATATCACAGACTGTAGTCAAGGCAATCACTGGTCACTGCTATCATGCACTAATAAACATTGATTAATTGAATTCTGAATGCTTAGATTATATTCATAATTATTTATTAGGTAGCGATTTTTGATAGCAGAATGCAGACACGAGAAAATAAGATAAGCTACACAAACTAACCTTACTTCTCCTATTCCGAAAGTGACTGAACCAACGCAGCCATGCATACAGGCGAAGAAACGCGAAGCTAAAGAACCTACTGCAGTAAGCGCGTATTAAAATATTTAAAGCTCACGAATAAAATAGAGCTTTTTCGCTTTTACATATGATACACAATTACCTAACGCGTCAATTGTTAGAATTCAGTACAAAATTGACAAAAATCCTCAACACTTATTCAGTATCAATATGTAAAGTAAATTAATTCACACATTTCGGCGTTAAATACGACTCACAGGACTTGGTTTCATGCACCAGAACTGTCTATTTACATCGTTCAAGATAATCCTACAACACTCAGAACATGAGCTGTCTAAAGCTCGCGACGGGCGCTCGAGTAATAAGTGAAATAATAACTACGATTCGAACAAAGGCATGGTATTGCTTAATAACTCAACAGAAAGTGTCTCATCCTAATACAACTTGGTTAACTTCGAAGAAACACTCGTTACATGACACCATGACTGCTGTAGTACAAAAAGTGCATTGATTAGGAAATGAAAAATGACAGGATTATACAAGAGCTTGCGTGTTGAGGCGAATTCTTCGAGCACAAAAATTTATGAACATGCCTGCTAAGGCGAAATTTTGGATCACCTGGAGACAAGCGTAATGGTGAAATGAGAAACCATGCACTCTGAACGAATATAAGAAACGTTGCTAATGATATTAAATTTACTGCATTACATTACGAAAGTTGAAACACAAATTTCATAAAAAAGACAAGAAACGATACAAACTTCCGCTATAGAATCCAAACATCGGAAGCCAAAATTGCAAATGACGCAAGTAAAAGACAAAGAAAAGTTTTTCCGCAGCAAAAAAGAAGCATGGCGACGTCGACGTACCCCCCTCGTCTAGTTTTGGATTTCCTTGAGCTAAAGAGCGAGTGACCACGCTATCCACACCTCAGTTGACAGTAATAAGTCAATTTACCACGGCGCTGGACGCGTTAACAGAAAAGTATGCCAGGAGTGCCAAAACACATAACTTGGAAGTGACAAATGAAACATAGATTGAACTTCCGGATCTCTCATCGGTTGGCAGTGCTGTCAGTTTTTTAAACAGATAATTTGGGGCATAAAACATTTTGTTGAATGGTACAGTGCCATCGCACAGAATGTGAAAGCATGACCATTTTTCTACATCATTAATGCCGACTAGTTGATATAAGGGAGCAGGAGAGAGGAATTTATTTGATTGAGATTTCGTATTAATAATGCCACCTTTGGGTAATCATTTTCCCCTACAACAATCGTTTGAAAGAAATCAATAAATATCCACAAAAATTAAATAATCCTGGTTGAAGTAGAAAAATGGTATTCCTGTCTTAAATACTTTTGAAATTACAAAAGAAAATCACACAGTAAATCTTTTACAAGGAAGTTCCGCAAAAAATATAGCATGGAATATAAGAATAATCTTTTCAACAAAATATCAACGGAATCCATTTGAAAACAGAGACGACATCCGAGAGAAACTGGTCCTGATATCAATCACGTTATTCATTAGTACGAAAACGTGGAAGAAAAAATTCTCAATATTTTTGCCTATTAGGAAGCACCCTAGAAACTAAAAAAAATTCGGATTAACCACCCCATACCCATGTCAGTTCAGCTGGCCCTATCAAGACAATAAAGTTCCGAACTTCCATCATTGCTGCGCTCAAATATAAAACTCAACCCACGCTGCTTCACAGCATCCGAGTGAATTGGGTGAGAAAAAAAAAACAAGTCGACGATTGTTAGCGTTGCGTCAAGTGGGCATTGCGAAAACGAGTTTTAACAAGAAAACCTTACAGAGGCCGTCCAACGCACCACGTAAGTTTGGAGCTCTGGAAATTAGCGCTCCACCATTCATTTTAGCACAAAATAACAAATGTAAAAATTCCTTTGAAACAGTAAGAGTAAGATTCAAGAAACTACAGTCATGTGAAGAATAATTAAAGTAAACAACACCATAAACAAAGTTTTGATCCAATGTGCAACGTTCCTCCTCAGCAAAGCATTCACATACACTTTTATACTAGGCAAAGAGTTCACCAAGTAAAGTCACTTCAAATAGATTTAATTAATAATAAATTACGGCTTCTGAACGAGTTCTCTAAGAAACCAGATTCAAGAGTTGGAAAGAGAGACGTATGACGTGCATATATTTGTTACCAGCAATCAATGCACTGTCACCAACTTTTCAAGATTCATACTTCAAAATTTTCTCTTGCTTTAAAAAATTAATGACTCGTACAACTGAATCATATATCGGTCCATCTTTCTGAAGATTGCTGATTTTAATTTCAACAAATAGTTTTCTCGATTCAAATAGTAGCTGTTCAGTCAACTTTCTTTATTGGATCACCGTCCAAAACCTCCTCATCAGTGATGAAAGAACATAGAAAAGGAAAACAAACAGAACCATTACACGGGCTCATACTTGGCGGCACCAGAGGCCACTTTTAAGCCAATGATTTTAAATTGCGGCCTTGTGAAGAACAGCGCCCGCTTCACATGCTTCGTGGTAAGTTCTCTGACCGGTCCACAACTCGTAGCCCGAAGTCGATGACCAGAAGATTTGGAAACAATTTTCCGAGCCCCATTTGTCTGAGAGCCAATTGGTGATGATTTAGTTGGTTTCAGATTTTGAAGTGAATCTTTCCGTAATTCAATTTTTTTGCCAGTTGCATTTTTTCTAGAATGAGAAGTCTGACAGTTTTGCGAAAATTTACGTTTTCTCCCTCTAACGTTCAATTTTTGGCTGGGTAAAACATATCCACACTCAGCGTCAGTTTTCATCTCCGAATGGCCGTGAATAAGCGTCTTCAAACCCCTTTTTCCTTGTGGTATCCGCAGAGGGATTTTGCTTGCAGTCGCTCTTTGCTTGCGCTCCAGAGAAACTTTACTTGTATTTTTCATGCATTTGGACTCTACAGGTGCTTTCATATTTTTAGTAGATAGATCTTTCTTATAAGATGGAGAAACTTCGACGTACTTCGCTTGCCGCACACTATCCTCGCAGGGATCTGATGATTGGCCTGGGTTTGTGCAGGACTCGCCAACCTGAGGCTCTTGTGGACGACGACTTTTGCCTTTACAAGTCCAAGCAGCCGCCAGCGACGAGCGTATAAGATCATCCATGAACAGGTTCAGTGACTGAAATAAAAGTTTCACATGAATGAGGAATATAGCAAATAAGAATCGGTAAATTTATGTTGCCCATACAACAAAAAGGGCAGTGACGAGCGAGCATGAAATATCTCCCATAAACAGGTTCAGTGACTAAAAAAAATCTACATGAATAAAGAGAATGCAGCATATAAGTAATTCACTATGTCCATGCAAAAATAAGCGTAAACCAAAACAAACAATGTTTCTTGAGCTATCATTGCAAATTGATTATGATAGATCGACATGCAAGCGAAATATTTATCAGGAAACGAGTTTTTGCAATTATAAATGTCCTCATGATTAAGATACACCATTACTGACAAAGCGTGTTCATGAATTACGGCTCTAGGTGACGATAAATGCGGTCACAGGATTATATCATCAACAAAAATGCGGGTTTCATCATTAAACAACATTCTTTTGTCAGGAAGGTACAATGTGCTGAGTACAATCATTTACTTAGATGGATTTTCATGTAAACATTATCATACAACCTCAATGCTTAGAACCTAGGCAACAGCAAATTTTTAATTATTTTACTTTAGTTGTATTACAAATACGTACATTTACCGGCAGAAAATATGCTTACCGTAAAAAGAACAAGGCCGGCGGTATCGGCCACGATGGCGTCTTTACAGCTGCCAAAATAATCGCCTTTCACCCCAGGAAGGAGTTCGCTGAAGGGCGCTAACGGCCTTTCAGTGATACAAGCCATTCTTCTTACAGCAGAACAGCCTTCGTCTAGAGACACGTGGGCTTCAGGCAGCACAGAATGCCTTGGCTGAGCAGCATTATCCTGGGATCCACTTTCGATTTTCGGAGCGATTTTGCTCTCTGCACTGCTAGAGGTTTCCCCGCTGAACTCAATTTTTTGTGATGTTGAAGAGTTTTCGAGTTTAGGCGTTACCCCAATAAGCAAGCCAGATACCGTATCCCAATGGTTGCTTATTGAGAAAACGGAGCTACCGTCGTCATTAATGGATCCATGGATGTCAGAATCATCTTCACTGTCGTCTTCGCATTCAGTCTTAATAGTAACTTCTGATGAGCGAACTGGAGCACAATTTGATGCGGATGAAGCTACCGCAATGCTCTTGGGCTGTGGATCGGTGTTGGTTGTAGCCGATGCAGGAAGGGCAGGAGCCAAGTCCGGGTTCTTCTTTGGCAGGCAGGACATTCGCGGATTCGTTGAGACAATCTGTTCCCAAGACACATGAATTTCTGAGGTCGGTTTCAGTGAAGTTTCTTCTGCATTCTCAGGCTCTGTAAATAATGAACTAGTTTTAAATGAGGGTGAATTTTGGACGGATATGCAGTTGTGATAAAGGTAAACACAGAAATTGTATTGTATTATAAATTGCATGTATAAAACTTAAAAATTTCCAAAATACCAAGTTAATGAAAATGCTGGAACAAGAAGAAGAGAAGGCAGTTTTTGTTCTCCATTCAGAGAATGAAAAAAGAAACGCAAGGTTTTTGTGCGTAAAATGAATAAAAAAAGCTCAATCTCAAGAATAGATGGCTGGAGTTTGAAGTAAGTCAAGGCAAATAACAAAAAGTGTTTGCGGTAAGACTACACGTTGGCTGTCACTGGAAATACGGTTTATTGGAGTATTTAATTGCATACTTGCAAAAAGGAAAATAGATCGAGATAGTAACCTTGGTTCCGGGGAATAACTGCTACACTAAACCTATTGGGATTTCGAGTGATTGAATTCTTCCAAACAAAAATGGGGCAAAATAACAGTGTTTGAAAACGTCTTAAAAGCAAAAATAACTTGGTATCCGAATATAGTTTTTACAGTCAAAAGTCAAAACCCTCGCTGTTCCATGTCTTAGTTTGCAAGTGCAACAACAAATTTCAAGCTACTCGCCTTTTCAGAGCATTTTCTCATTTATGGAAAAAAGGCGTTATTGTGCTCGTCATGTCCGTCTATCCCGTGACTTCACGTTTTCGCCGAAGAGAAAATGAGCTCACTGTCACTCACTGCAGTGAGTACCGAGTTACATTTTTTTCCACTTCTGCTACTTGCAGACAGCGTTAATGTAGACTCTAATATCACAAACCACTAACCGTTTTTCCCAATGCTGCTACTTGCAGGCAGCGTTGAGGTATACTCAAATATTAACAGACACTCACCGTTTTTTCCACTGCTGCTCATCGCAGGCAGTGTAAAGGTAGACTTTAGAGCGTCACCAACAATCGTTTCCACCAGCTCCTGAAGACTCATTTGGTGAGGAGGAATGTCTTCTCTTAGTCCTGCGAGAGAGCGACTCTCCTGCTCGCGCTTGAGCTTATTATGCAGGTACTCAAGTCGAGCTTCAGGGATGTACCAGTCTGTAAAAATGAGGAAGGTAAAATAAAGAAGTTTTTGACCTTTTTGACCTTGTGAAAGAAGTTTCAATCAAGTGTCCTGATGAATTCATAATGAAATGAAACAATAGCCTTGTCGATATTGAATAAATTTATACGACTGTTCTTAAAGTATTTCTAATCCATCACAGGTGTCATGAAGTATGCTAATAGTAATTTAGCTTCTTCGTTAAATCTCTTCTACGATAAATATTTATCTAATCAATTTGAGAAACAACTTCAACAGTTGATTTGACACTATGCCAAAGAAATTCACGTCAAGTTACTGTTGCCAACATCACTTGCAAAATTAATTGAGAAATCCCAGCAGCTGTTGGTAAATAGACAACGATTCTCCTGGATGCAAGAACGTAAGTCTATAGATTATGACAAAATAGAAGTGTTCAAAGGGCACTTCAGTGTGGGCAAGTAAGATTGAAATCCAGAAAACACGTGAACATAACATGGTTGAATAACAACCTTCTCGATTAATTGGCAGAAGGTAAGACGAAATCATACCTTAGCGAGTCCGAATACAGCAGGGAAGGTAGTAGGGCACGACATGGCAGGAGAAAGACAGCAGGGCACGACATGGCAGGAGAAAGATAGTAGCGCACGACATGGCAGGAGAAAGATAGTAGCGCACGACATGGCAGGAGAAAGATAGTAGGGCACGACATGGAAGGAGAAAGGCACGGTGAGGCAGTGCCAAGACAGTAGGGCACGGTACGACAGTCTCACGACAGCAGTGCACGGTAAGGCAGTCTCAAGACAGCAGTACACGGTCTACTCGTGACGGGACCTGTTTTAAGGAAGACGTCGCGATACGGGCACGGCGTATGGCCGTTCTGACGTGCCCAGGCCACCACGGACCGCAGCGACCACAGCGATGCGCACGATGAACAGCAGCGACGCATATGATGAAGCACCAAGCGCGCTCGCCAGTACTGTGATCAGTCATTATCGGGTCTTAGATTATGGGATAATAGTTAAAATTAGTGATGGTACGTGAGGTTTCAAGCATGGGAATTATTCAATGAAAATCTAGTGATGGTATGCTCTAGCACCTCGCACACCGAATAAATAACGAAAATCACCAATGAAGTGATCGAGTTCAGGTTCATTCATAAACAACTGATGCAGATAGATTACATCATCAATATTGTCAATATTACCTATCATCAATATCAATAAGTGGTTCATTTAAAAGAAGTCCTACGGCTGCAATACGTGAGTATGAGTACAAAAGGCTTGCACTGAGATCAACGGCTACCCCAAAGTGAAAAGACGATTTAATTGGCACGGCCCAGAGATCTCGAGCAAATTTTAGTTTAATAATAAATAAAAGCTCACCTCAGCCGCCCGCTGCTTGGCGAACGGCCAGCGCAGAAACTCTTCCTGGGAGATCTGCACAAATTACAGGAAAGTCAAATAAAAGAAAAACAAAAACTTAAATAAACGAAATAGAACGCGAATAATTCGGGTTCGGAAAATCGGAGGGGCGAAAAAAAAAACAAAGTTAACCCAAAAGTGATGAAAGTATTATAAGTTATCGCGTGTCATGCGACACAGTTCACAGCTACAGTACTCTTTATGTCAGTTAGGAATACAAAAGAAATAAGTCCACAGAAAACTCACAGGTTCAGGACATCAACGTAGCCACATTCTAGTTGAATGGGATCTAAATAATCATATTTTTTACGGGCGGTAGCATATGTAATCAGGCCTTTAGATGCGAATAGTATTGACGAGTCAATGTAACTGTGAGCCAAGGATTTACCTTTTATATATCCACTGATCTATTATATCTAATGATTTATCTATCATCTTTTTTATCGACAATAAAATTTAACATACGAACAGCATTATTGGTCATGTGTCTTCAGACAAAGGGTTAATCAACAACGCTACAAATGAGCAGGATTATGCCACACCTTTGCTCTCCGCATCACGAGTTGAGGGGTGGATACGTCCACGACGACAGCAGTTGCATCAACGGCTTTGACAGAGGCCGGAGGCTGGCTTCTGTTACACATATCAGTGATACGATGACCTGACGACTGTTTACCATTGTTGTAAACTGGTGAAGTTAGTTTGTTTTTAGAGAAGTTCTCAAAGTTTTTTTCGCAGGGATTGAGGGAACTATTTCGATCCGTGCGTTTGAAAGCCGCAGCATTAAAGAATGAAGTGCGAGTCGTTTTGGCGCCGTTATTAGATGCTAAACTTGAGGTGGCAGATAGAGAAGATGATGAGCACTGTTCGTGGCTAACAGGCAGAACAAGGGGCAAGGCTCGCACTGCCAAGCGGATGAGCATGCTGGGATTGCAGTGCGTGTGGGCAGCGCCACACGCTGATTCCAGGTAACTGGAACAAGAAATTGCTTTCTCGCACACATGAATGACATACTATTAGCAGTCAAGAACAAACACGGTCTCTAATAACTTCCGATTAGCAATCATATTAGTGCGATAGTACCTATTCTTCAAACAAGAACAATTTTTCTACAACCTAAACTAATTTATAGTGGATAAATTTTTCATTATACATGTCAAATTGCAACCCTGTTAGTTCAAAATAATTTTTAAATGACGCGGAAATGTACAAAATCGTATACCTGACAAAACCAATCTGTGACTTACTACATATTTTTGAGAAGTTTTTGTTCTTTCTTGGCCTCAAGTTTGGCTCTCCGGTACTTGGACAAGGCGGCTAACTCTTCCATGGGCATGTCATCGAGGTCTTGGTCCTGTTCCTCACATTTGATCATTCCATTGGCGTGCTTGAAACTTCCGACAAGAGAAGAAGCATCCAATGGAAAAGAGTTTAAGAACTCAGGCTTTTGCTCACGAGTACGGAGGTACGAATTGACCGATACGCACGATTTACCAAGCATTTCTTGAGACTTGTTTGAGAGGTGTTGAGGTAGGTCACTCGTTCTCACAAAACGAAACGATTGTGAAGACTTAACTAGAGTATTCGCATTCATGATTTTTAAACCGGAGCCATTATGAGTGGCAAGGGTTGTGGGAATTTTCATGACATCCGGTAGAGATTTGATGTTGTACGCTTTTTGGCCATTGATAATAACAGGCTGGCCAAGAGAAGCTCGAGAGAAAGTAAACTTCTTATTACCGCATGTCAGTTTTGATAGAAAGTTCATATTAAGATCAGAGTTTCGTATTAATGGTTCAGAAGCGTTAATAGACTCCTTGGAATTGTTTGGACCACTTTCGTTCACAATATCAGGTTTTGAAGGTAAAAATTTAACAGATTTTTCCTTAGAATTCACAAAAATTATGCTTTTATTACTACTGGGCATATCGAAATGCTTGTCACCAACACTGCAAGGCACCAATACCTGTTCCATGACGCGCATATTCTTCGAAATTGGCAGTTTACCAACAGTCGCACATGACGATTTCAAATCTAACTGAGCAACAGATAACTTAGTTCCATAGCAATCACTGGCACTATTTTCACATGTATCGTTTATTGGAACAGAGACATTATCGAGAATGAATTTTTCAGGTAACTTAGATTCAGGCTCTACATCAGTAGCACATTCATTCACAGCGCCCGTGAACGCATCCAAACTTACAGTATTCTCATCCAAAACTTCTGCATTTGTTAATCCAGAACCGAAAATAGGTGTAACATCCGAAACATTACCCAAATCGAAAGAGTCAACTTTAGGGGAATGAGTGTTATTTGCAGGGGTGATGATACTCGACGGAATACAGGCAGATGAGAGGTGAACGGTATCGGACATCACTGGAACAGACCGCTGGTTTGCCGCTGTTGACAAGATAGAGTCTTTTGAACTACAAATAGTATTAACTACACCACATGCATGGCTCTCATGCGCGCCAAAATTGCTACTACAAGGATAATTGTCTACATTATCAGTAGAGTTGGATCCAGCACAAGTACTTGCAATTATTATCGGACTGGGATCCGTGAGAGATTTACTTACGTCTAATTTAAGTGGAAGAATCTTGTGCAACGTTGCGTTCATACGAGCGTTAGCTGGCTGAGACTGCTGCTGATTATTCACAATTAACTTGTTTTTCTGGAGTAGCGCCTCAGCTACACCTGGTTGCAGTTTAATCTTAGTGCCAAGCGGTAAGTTTTGTAAGTTTGAAACTTTAATAATGTTAAGTTTGCCTCCAGCACTAGATTTGACTAAGGACGATCGAGGTATAACTTTCAGGAGACCACCAGACTGAGATGAAAAAGGCAATGTGAGAGTGGAAAACTCTGATGCTGATAACACGCGAGGATTTGGAACTATGTTAGCGGTTGCGTTCGAGTTGATGTTGCTTGCAGTAGATGTAATCAATCGCACACCACTAACACTGGAATTAACTGACGAGTCTGCCACACTACAGCTAACACCAGCTTCTATACTAGGAGCGGCAACCGTAGAAATGAGGGGCGCAATTCGCGAGTTAACAACAGATGAGATAATTCTGGGCAAAGCAGTGGAAGTGACCATGCCGGTGGAAATAGAGGTCGATGACGGAACTATTGAGAAGGAGTTCACAGACGCTGTGGAGCCCCCCAAACCTTTTGCAATAACCTTTGTAGACACAGGAGCGCCTTCAGTTTTGAATTTGATCAACGGTATAGAAGGCTTTGACGTAGATACGTGAGAAACAGGAATTGTGATATCTTTACCGTTGGTTTTAACTATAATATTTTTTAGCGTGCCTTGATTGAGAGATGATTGGACAATTTGATTTAGAGGCAGCAAATGCAAATTAGAGTTAGACGTAGTTTTCAGAGGAATCGTTTTCATTCCAGTGCTTGTCTTAACGGTGAAGTTCATCACGGAACTTGCAGCGCTGGTTTGGATGGTGACATTAGAAGTTTGAGCACGTTTTGTTAAAGTGGCTGCAGCAGGTGATGGCCGCGAGTTGACGGTAGAAGTGTCATTAGAAGTTGACATCTGACACACATTTCTCGTGGAGCTGCAAGCTGTCGAAATTTGGATTGAAGGCGTCAACCCAAAAACTTGGTCAGATCTCAATATGTTACTTGCATTGCCTTTAGTAATCGAGGCAACAAGCTGGCGCACTTTTGGGTCGTGCATTTGTCCCAGTTTCACGAGTTTCATGCCACCAGTAGCACCTATGCCTGCAGGGAGGTTAATCAAGTTCTTGCCACTAAAGCGAGGTACAGCAGCAAGTTTTCTAGGAAGCGCAGCTTTTTCATTTTTATTAACACAAGAGCTGATCCTACCAGCAAAGGGTCCTTCTTCTTTCATTAGTAACTGCTTGGGTGTGTTGGATGGAATTTTCTTAACCTCAGAAACAATTTGTACTTCATCATCAGAGTCCTCATTTACAGTTGCATTTTGAATAGTTGACATATTAGTCACCTGATTTGCAGAAAAAGTAGAGGAAGCAGGAGTCTTATTTCCAGACGGGGGTGCAAAATTGAAATCAACGTTAGCTGGGGCATTGATTTCCTCGACACCACAGTCTACTGTTACAGCGTCGTACTTAGATGCCGAATGTTTCACAGGAGTCAATGACGAAGCACAATCTTTGGAACTACTTGAAAATCGTTCAAACAAATCACCAAACGTGATCGTGTGATCCTTGTTCAGGTCCGCAATGTTGTTTGAATTCCATGGTAGAGCTTTCAAAATTGACTTGACTTGAGGTTTAATGCAAGATCCCTTCAACTTCTTCTTAGCACTTGCATCGTTTGAAGGCTCTGCCTTTTTTCGACGTCCTGGTGATTTCTTAACTTGAGTCTCACTAGGTTTCAGCGCCGCAGCACGGCTGGGCAAGTTCATAGCGAGTTTTTCTTCAATTGGAGCCCAAGGATAACCAGCAAGGGGATCCCGAAGGGTCGGACTGTTTTCCCCGTTATTGTCCTCACTCGAAATTGGAATTTCTTCACTATAAATTGGAATTTCTTCACTAGAAATTGGAATTTCACTGCTGTCGACAACTTCCACGGTGCTTCCTATGGCCATATCATTCATTGCACTAAAGTCATCGACCAAGATGTTCTTGGGGACAAGTAGGTGAGTGTCATCATCACGAGGGCATGACAGGTCCTTATTATCAACATCATTGAATATCTGTTGGAAGACTCTTTCACTAGCCTCCACCTGAGATACTTCCTCATCATGATCAAGTTCGGCGAATGATTCACTTGGTGTTGGAGTCGCCACGGATGCCAACCTTGTGCTCGCTCGGCTGTTTTCATTGCTGTCAGATTCCAGGTCATTGAAGAAATCAGAAAGCTCTTCCGACTCAAAGACTGGTATGACCATATTTTGCAAAGGTCCTTCGTCAATATTGTAGTCTGAAGCATTGAAACTTTCGTTCATGAGTGACGGGAGCCTTAAACCTTGACCAGATTCCAAGAGTTCCATCGGCCCTGCCGAGGCTCTACCATCTTCATCACAAGCTGAGAAATTAGACCACGGCGCGTCGCTGCACATGCCGTTGACACTTTCCAGTTCAAATATAGGATCCATGAGCTGAGGGATGCTGTTAAGCTGGCTCATAACTCCAGCAGAGGATGCCACTTGGTCGTTTTCTTGTTTGGGTGACGTAGAGTCATGACAATTTGAATTTCTATGCATAGTTTCTTTTTCACCTTCATCACTAGGACCGTCATAGAAATTAGTTCTCATAACATCGTTGCTCGCCACATGCTCGTGTGCCTCGGGAAGCACACCATTTGCAGAAGTAACACTATTGTTGATTTCGCTTGTCTTGAAACAGACTTCTGTCACTCCTTGGTTCTCTAAAATTACGTTGTTATTCGCCAAGGCAGGAGCCAGAAAATTATCAGGGTGGGAAACATTGACTTGAGTGTTACGAGGTTGAACGGTTAGACTGTACGCCTTCAAGGTGGCGTGGCCGTTAGCATTTGAATTTCTGAGGTGAGGCAGCACAGAAGGGACCTGTACTTGCACTACAGGGATGCCTTTTATCTGGTCCGGGATGGCTTTACCGTGGTCTTTACTTGAGTGAGGATACATTGGGATGACGACAGTATCGGGATTAGGTACACAATATGAAGGAGGTAGGAAGGTGGGGCTGTACACTGGCAGATCAGGCGCGGCAGAGGGTTGGAGCGCATCACTGCCAATCAGTTTTTTGATGTCGACAATAGGGACTGTGTACAACGTCTCCCGACCTGTGAATAATGTAAGTATGGCAGCGAAATCTTTGTATCCATAATAGTCTGAACTCAATGGCTATAGCGTCGTAAGGCCTATAGCTAGTTTCACCTTCTGAAGGACCATGAACAGACAAATACCGAGGTTAAATTTCTGCATTGATGACTTGGATTTGATAACAAACATACGCCGCACAACTCGAGGTGATAGATGGCAATAATATATTGCCATATATAAATACCGATATATGGCAATATATAGGTGGCAAAAAAAGGATTCTCCAAAGTCATTGATAGAAGTAGGTATTTGGAAAGAAAAGCTAAATTGAAGCTACTCATTTCTTGAATATAAATGGAACCCTATGTTATTGAATTAATAAGTGATAATTCTGCTACAAGTTTCCTTAACCCACATTAAAATTCAACTTCGATCATGATATAGTGGCTCTTGATCACTAACATTTGATAGTGATGTTTACAAGAAAAGTTCATTGAACAAGTATAACTACTAAGCTAAACTTATTCTGAAGTCAACGTACCCATCCTCCATTCTCCAGAAAATGCTCCGGGGTCCAGGGGATGAGCGAGTTTTATTTTGTGTCGCACGCGCGAGAATTTGCTGATCTTTCGTCTAAGTGGGTTCAGCGTCACTAGTAACTCGAACTCCTTGCTGCTTGGACCAATGATTTCAAAGGGACTCCTGAAAAAACCGTCTCTATTGAACATTAAGATAGGTAAATGATTTAGCTCAACGATGAGCAAAATCCGCACTTTGAATGGAGATTTTAATCGCACTCAGCAGTAGATAACTGGAAATTTTCTTGGAGCAGCAGTTTACATAGTAAAGCCAAATTATAACTCACTCTCTATAACTTGACAAAATAAAAAATTCATAATATTCATAGTCAATGGCCGTTCCCAAGATCCAAGTAGTGAATACTGGATGGTGTTCTGGTTAAATGAAAAAAAAATGTCTGCTTCTCCACGCCCATTCCTTTTTGTCAGTAAACACATTTTCTTACTAGGCTTAAAAATTTAAATAGAAGATCGAGAGAAGAAGATGCTTGAAATTTAATTAACTCCGCAGGATCAATAATCAATGATACACTGCAATCCAAAACAAATTCATTCAGATTGAAAATTTCGTAACAAATTCAGAGTTCTATCTATAACTTCATGAAAAAGATTAAATTTGATTAGTTTTATGAATATTTCATGCTTTATTACTTGACTTGTAGCTCCTGGTTAGGAGCATAGCTTTCATCCAGGGTGAAAGTGACTGATTTGACAACATCCGCTAGGTTGTAGTCAACACCACGGACATAGACCCACCAAAGGAACCTGCACAGATAGACAATCTTTTAGTTGGAGCTCACAATACACAAACCTTTTCAATTAAGACATGGATTTGTAACATTAGAATACAGACCAGTAATTATCCTTACTTATTCTTCCACTTCTTCAAACAAGAGTCAAAAAAATTAACTAATTTTACAACAATATAATGGATGAAAAATGCAGGCAGGTTCCACAAACATTTCTTGACCATTTCAAGAGTCAAATGGTCCACGATGGAGCTCATAGACCCACACTATCACTAAGAAGCCACAAACCAAATCTGTTGGGGCAACATTTTTTTTTTGAATTAGTCTAATTAACATACTTGGTAGGTTGCTTTTCCAGTCCAGTGACATTGGATGAGGTCTTGTCAATGAGAGCCTTGTAAAAATTCCCAACAACCAATCTAAAAGAGGAATAAAAGTTGCATTAAGTTAAAAACAATTATATATAAAAATATTACATTAAAAATATAAATGAAAAGGTAAATCAGAATGTTGACATATAGGTAACACCCTGGTACATTTTACACATTTTTTATTGCACATAGTAAGCCTCATGAAGACAAAAATTGTGGCAAAAATGTTGTTTTGTTTGGCACAAATGCTAACACTGAGCAGTACGTAATAGATATTCAGGCTTAACGAACCACAAGAAAATTAGAATGGGAAATGTTGAGGGGATAGAAGATGACAGTACCTCTTCTTCTCTGCAGCTTTCTGGAGTTGTTCACGAAGTTCCTGCTGTCGGGCCTTCTTTGAAAGCTTAAACTCGCAATTCTTTTTCTCATCAGCAACTGGACACATCACAAATCCATTATTTGTGGGACTACAACAGCTGGTGTTGATATAAACTTCAGGTTTATTAGGTCGCAATCCACCGGAGGAGTTATAATCAACAGAACTGAAGGTACTACTGGATTTCAAATTTACATTAGTATCTTTGCTATTATTCAATGAATTTTCATCTGGTATTCTGATGTCTTTGACTGGATATGGTGAAGAACTTGCTATAGTGCTACCAGCATGAGAAACATCATGCTGGACAAGTGAACAGTCTTGGTTACCATAGTCATCCCTGTTAATGGGACTCACAAAGCTATTGAAATGGAAGGTTCTTGTAGATGTGATGTTTTCATATGGGCTTCCTGAATGTGGTATAATAATTTGACTGGGATAGTCACTGTCATTGTTTGGTGAGGCAGAGTTACTTCCTACTCCATCAGACTCATTTGTGACCATAGTTCCATAAGCAGGAGATATTAAAGTGCTCACACTATTAAATTTATCGCTGGTTGAGGAATCACTATAAGGAGATGAACACTGCGAAGTGATACTCATATCATCTGAAGTTTCATTATATGTGATTCCATATTTTAATTTCTTTGGATTCAGGAGCTCTTCGTTGTTAATTTTTCTCTTCAGATTTACTTCTTGTCGCAAAAAGTCGATATCCATGCTTCTCACATTTGCATCCTGAAATAAGACATAGGAGATTGAAAGAAGGTCATAAAGAGTGAAAGAGTAAAATTATCAAGATTATACAAAATTGAACCCATAATGTTCATATTAAATATATATAAATGATGCACACCTTGCTTAGAGTCAGCTGCTGTAAAATTTGCCTAATATATTCCTGAACAGGTCATTGTAATGGAAGATCACTTTGATACTTTCAACAGTAAGACCAACCATTGCATTGTGAGTGGTGTAAGTAGTAGTGAAGTTTTGCCCTGGACTTGGGGAGAGGCCTTGGAGCTGAGAGGGATTCAGTATTTCACTGCCAGCAATCATATCATTCAAATTTTAGTACTAAAGTTCACAATTTAAATACTACATCTTAGTCATTAAATTCAATCCTGAAAGAAATAACAGCAGTTTGGATAAATTAATTTTCTTTATTTATGGCCTGATGCTTTATTAACACAAAGATTATTCAAATTTAAATTTTAATCTTGCTTATCACAAATCATCTAATCCCTACAAAAGAAAAGTCAGAATGTTGGAATAGAGAGCATTTTCTCGTCAATGAAAATGTGGTCATGGACGGACAGAGACGGACATGGCGAGCACAATAGTGCATTTTTTTCATAAATGAGAAAATGCACTAAAAAGCCTGGTAGGCATGGGCAAAAACCACAAATGGATTGCACCAAATAGGCATACCTGATGATTTTGTCTTAGAAGCACAATAGACTTTCTCTGCATAACTGACTGTTTCTTGCAGGCATGTATGTTCCCAAAAAGCCAAAATAATACATGAATATCAAATTATGTCATTGCCATTTTGCTTACGGACAAGTTTCTTATGTTAACTTGCATAGATGAATTTTAAGGAGTATTTAAAAAACTTGAAATAGGGTGCATGACTGCATGCTGATTGCTGACCACCGGTCAAGACTGTTAGATCAGTCATTCATGGCTTATTTCACGCTGCATATGTTTCTTTGACTAGCATAAAAAGGGATTTAAATTTCACATTACGCTTGGCAGCTAAAGAATGTTCAATTAATATGTATTCACTACAATCATAATTAAATCAAATTGAATGAATGTCAAAACTTAGGTATATAGATAGATATTTCTTATAATCAGATATTTTTCCTATTTAGATTAGCATTTTTCGGCATTCTCTGTAAATTTCTTCATTTCTCATTTGCATAAATAATTGCTATTTGCTGAGCCCCTTTGTTATACCTATAAACAATGACCTGAATCACCTGATGAAAAATTGAAATTCAAGTTTTAATATACTTTATAAATATTTATGTGGTACTCTATTATAGCTTCTATGCTTTTACCTTCTAATTAGTAATAGCATTAACTTAATTTCTATTAATTATTAGGCTAATTGTATTATTATTAATTAATTTGGATTTAAAAAATTAGGTAGGGTAAACGAGGTATATTAAGACACTTTAAGGACGCATCGAGAAATGAAAAACTATAAAAAAAAACCGTATGCGTTACGTAAGTTTTGTTGCCTTCACATGACTCTCAAAACACTTCACTACGCGTCAGCAACAATGAAACGTCACAAAATGTTGCCATATTTATTAAAAAGCCTTTAGAATGGAAACCTACCAAATCCCTATATTCCGTCACTTTGTGTGGTCACTGTGGCAACATCCGACACGTGGTGAGTCGTATTGCGTCAGCGCTTCAAATTTAACTGATACGTATTGGCAACATCCACGTGTTCGAATTCCGTTTGCTGTGTGAGCTGTATTGGGATACAACACGGCTTTGAATTAGAACACTAACGAATATTGAACACTACTTAATTACGTTTTAATTAACAGCTATTAGGCTTTTAATTAAGCAAATTTCAATTTTTTTACAAAGCTTTGAACGATCTGTGTGTGTCCAATTCAAGTTGTGTCGGAATTAGTTTCCATGTGTCGAAATCCAACATCTCAACTTAATCATCTATTAATTTATTTACGACTTGAAATCAGCAAATACAAGTATACTTAAAGGATTCCTAATATATTCACAGACGTATTTAAAAGTCTCAAACCATAATATTCTTCCTATAAAAACAGTTATTCACTATTTGGTAGAGCCATGTCAACTGTCAAATTTGACACATTTTTCGATGATCTCACCACATGGCATGCATTGTCTCTCTTTGGATCTCAATATTTTCCCGCTAGATGGCCAAGACCTAGTGTTTTTGCAGTATTTCGACACGCAAATGTATGACGTCACCATTTCAACTATCAATGAATGCATGGAACTAAAACAAAGCTTAATATAAAGGAAAAACTAGAGAAGTGACAGAATTACCTACGATGTCGGAATATACCGCGTTTACCCTATGCACATGCCTACTAATAAATTAACTTTAAATTTAGGAGAGGAAATAAATTTTGTGGATTTGAAAAAATGCTCTAGTCACAGCACAGCTCAGGAAGTGAATATTATCTACACTTGATAATTAGAGTCATTTACATATTTCAGTAGCATTCAAAATTTTGGCCTCAGCCCTCAAAAAGACATCATTCTAATTCTAGAAATGCTAAAATTTACATTAAACCATACAATATATTCTGCAAAATAGGTAAATGCCTTTTAACTGTAAAAACTGCAATATTTAGAATCTCAGAATTACTCCTATCTGCCAGTCTGGGAGCTATGAATAAATTTCAAGAAAATTACAAGCAATTAATCATTAATATAAAAGTTACAGATGGTCCATGTCTTACAATGTTTATGTATTAATATAGTTAAGCCGATCATAACCACTTAAAATAACTTAAAAACATCTTACTCAGGACTCAGGAGCCACGAGTTAATTTACAAAAGATAAAGAAAAGAAAGTGCAATTTACGTCGGCCAGGGCGCCAGGCTGCCAGCTGGCTGCTGGGGTTGACTCCTGCATTGTAAAATAAACTTTCTAATTAGAAACGAAAATGCAATAAAAACTTACAAAATTAAAAAAAGAACATTTTTAATGCTAAGTAAGAGCACTAGTAACAGAATAAAACAGATTTGTATCCACTGAATAGCTACTAGTAAATCATATGGCTCGTTCCAGACGATAATCACGGAACAAACCAACCACTGTCGTCTTGGTTCACAGGTGCATCACTCAAACCAAGCCCCGATATTGGAGCAAAAATTTTTTCGTTTGATGAAATTTCACAAACCCATCTTCAACAGGAAGAGTTGAGCATTTATTAAATTGTTGAAAATTAAGATTTTCGCACAATTTACAGGCGAACTATCAATTCGGCTTTCGACTTTTCATATGGCCACTTAGCCCACTCTCCACGCCTGTGCAAGCATGGCGCACTCCTCGTCGGTCCGACCGAAAAAGTTACCGGTACGAGTTAATATCATGACTGATTTTTGCTACATCGTTTCATTATTCAAGCTGATAAGTTAGTTTTCCTATAATATTCATAAAATAGGATGAGAAATTTTTTCCATTCTGGATGTAAATTGAAATCTGTTGAAACGCATGTACAGTTTTGATATATAGACGATTGACACGGATCCCTTCTTATAGTGACAACCATCAAGAAGACGACGATTGGCATTTTCCTGAACTATAACCAACGGTAGGCAATTACTTATGAGCGTATTTTTGTACGAGAGTACACTCAAAGCATTTTTTGAAAAATTATTCCCCTTGAATTTTCACTTTGGGAAGGACCTCTCCAAGTAGCGTTCTGGTGTACAAAAAATATTCGAGCCCTTATATGAAAGGAAAGGAAATAGGGGTGGGGGCTGACACTCTCGAAAATAAAAAAAAGTAGTAGGAGGTGTTTTCTTGATGCCTGGGGCATCTGACTGCAGGTGAATGCATACATTGAATAAAATGAAAGATGCAGAATGTTTGGAGAATGCAGGCTGGATACGAATAAAAATTAATTTAGCCATTTAGTTCGATAGGACTTCCTTGAATCGTGTCGGGCAAGCACGCTCTTGGCAGAACTACCTGACGATGAGATGCCCGAACATGACGATGATGACAAGGACGAAGACGATAATGAAGATGATTATGTCGACGATTGTTATGAAGTGCGGGGTGGCGTGAGTCTTGCCAGCAGTGGCGGTGCTAACGTCGGGGGTAGCCGCTGTGTGAGCATGTCAGGCCGCCGACGAGGCTGGGACGATGATCACGTCGTCAAGAGAACTTTCTCGTGCCTTATTCCTGCTTTCGATCCCAGGCCTGGTCGTGTGAATGTTCACCAAACTCAATGTAGGTATTGCCGTATTGGCGCATATACTGATGAGTGATGAAAGAGCTATAATGTGTCTACCGTCACAATGAGTTGAAATTTGTCGGGGCTTGGAATAATATAAACCCAGTTAAACATAATATTTAAGAAATGTGTCTATTTAAAATAGTTTGATGTTCTAAGAAATATATCAAGTTATTAGAATTTTCAATTACTAACTTCGTTTAACATCCAAACAGATTTAGAAATACCGCCTCCTGGCACCACTCAAACCGTGGACCCGTCAAGCACTTCCGGGCCCCTGTCTGGTCCGCGACTGAACGAAACTTTGTATATAGAAACCTAACCTCCCAACGGTGATGTTTAGCTCGTGACAATTTTTTCGATTTTGCCTTCGTTTGCGAGTTATACGGTTTTACGTATATGGCTCTTGGTCAATGCAAGTTCAAAAATCGGCTAGAGAATTGCCAGTCGATTCTCCGTATATCCGTATCGAAGGCCCTCACTTCGTAGAGCGCGGCCACGCCTACAGCCTGACGTGTGTCTACGACATGGGCAGGTGTCATCTCTTCAACGTCGAGTGCGTGGTAGTCTGTAAGATGATGAGTAATCATTTCTCTTGCATAGAAAATAGAAATTTTATATATGTATAGCTTTGGTCCTGTGCGCTCTCTGGTGTGGCTGGAAGCCAAACGGGAAGGCGGCTCAGGTGAGTTTCGTGATCTTCTATTGCTTTCTTATACAGTTAGAATAAGACGTGCTAAACAAATATTTGGATTTATAATTTGAATATCTTTATTATGTGGATTGGCAAAATCATTTGTATTCATGAAAATAATAAAATACCTTCTAGTATGGTAACTAGGATCCAAGATTGAGTACATGATGTGTAACATATTATGTAAAACTAATGTTGTAATATGTTTTCGTTCGTTTTGTTCGTGCAGCTACTGAACGACGCACGGGAGTGGTCGCTATAGTGGTGGTAGAAGCGCGTCTGTGTCGCATCGTCGCGACGACCCTCACGAGTCACCGCGTGGGGCGTCTCAAGCATGAACGCGTCACCGTCCCCAGAGGACCTGATCTACTCAAGTGGGCCATGCGATGAATGATAATTGATAATGATAATTAATCATGATAATTCCTCATCACTGAATGCATTTATAGCT